TTGTTACAAAGAGGAATCAACCTCAACTTTCCGCGATCGCGATCGTACGTTTTAGGGCTAAAAAAAAAAAAAAAATCCAAATTAATGGTCCCGTAATGAAACAAAAACTATTTTTATGCCATTAACTATGGTGATTTTAAAGTCAGCAATGTTTTGCATGACAGGTTAAAAAAAAAAAACGAAATCTAGACCTAGAAGAATATGTGGGAAAATGAAATGGAAGAAAAACACTAACTTTATTTGAATGGTGCAATGCTTGAAGAATGCTTTGAAGCAACAAGGTGTTAGAGCCATTTTTCCAAGTAAACAATGTATTATATAATGTGATAATGATGTTTTAAAATCATTTTATATCTTTGAATATATATTTAATAAAACTTTGCCTAGGATTTGTCTTGATTTTTAAATTAGACATAGAGGTACATGTATGTCAAAGTGACCACTATTAAGAGGAAGCCTCTTCTTGTGTGTATGGCTGTCCTTTAATTATACGGTCTAAAAATTTTGAAAAGTAAAAAAAAATGGCCAAACCGTGGCTATAGTGAACCAAAAGCTCTGTCCCATTGGGGTTCACTATAGAGGGGTTTTACTGTATATATAAACTGTGTATGTAGGATGACCTGTGATCGGCTACTGATGGTGTATGATCTCCGTATGATGAGGAACATGACTCCCATCCAGATGGTCTTCCCTCCAGTTCTTCTTCGCTTCCTCCCAGCCTTCTCCTCCAGGATCTGTGTGGTCTCTCAGGTCTGTATTCCCACATTTCTTTCAAATCACAAGGCAGTAACACAAAATAGTGTGTATATGTGACCTTTCACTAACAGCGTTGTTACCATCATTGGACATAAGTACTGAATGTAACGTTTTGACAACAATGGCACATACTCAAGGTAATAAGACCAAATCCAAATAAATAGTGCGTGACGTATTTCAGACATTGGTCTTATTACCTTGTGTTTATAATCTATAATCCAAATTGTGCCTTATCAATGGCACATACTCTTTGTTTATTTTGTTTGGTCTCATTCATTACTTTTGTTTGATGATGGTAACAACGTTGTTACCAAAACGACACACACTATTTGGATTTGGTGTCATTCAGTGTGTTTGTCTGATGGTAACAATGCTGACACCAAAATGTCATATACTATTTGTTTATTTGGATTGGGGCTCTCATTCAGTACTTTTGTCTGATGATGGTAACAATGCTGTTACCATAACATCGTATACTATTTGGATCTGGAATTCAGTACTTTTGTCTGATGATGGTAAAAATGCTGTTACCAAAGCGTTATATACTATTTTTTTATTTTGATTTGGTCTCATTCAGTACTTTTGTCTGATGATGGTAACACCACTGTTACAACAAAATGTCACACTCTATATTTATTTATTTGGATTTGGTGTCATTACCCTGTCTCTACAATAAAATGTTAAAGGATCTTGTTTGCTGTGTGTGTAGCTGGGCCAGTTCCAACTGATGGACATCGGCAGTAATGGTCCCACATATCTCCACCAGGTGGACACCAGTGGCCAGGAGCTCTTGGCCTTCGATACCTCCTCATCCTGCCAAGCCCTGGCCTTCGGGGACAATGCTGGTGAGTGCAGTGTTGTTTCTTATCCCCTTGTGTAAAGATTACAGGAATTCCATGAGTTCATGTTCCTTGAACTTGAAGTGCAGTGTTGTTGTTGTTTCTTATCCCCTTGTAAACACAAGGTAATAAGACCAAATCCAAATAAATAAATAGTTTGTTGGATTTGGTCTTATTACCTTGTGTTTATAATCTATAATCCAAATTATGCCTTATCACTTATCCCCTTGTGTAAAGATTACACAAATTCCATGAGTTCATGATCTTTGAGCTTGAAGTGCAGTGTTATTGTTTCTTATCCCCTTGTGTAAAGATTGCATGAATTCCATGAGTTCATGCTCCTTGAACTTGAAGTGCAGTGTTATTGTTTCTTATCCCCTTGTGTAAAGATTACACGAATTCCATGAGTTCATGCTCCTTGAGCTTGAAGTGCAGTGTTATTGTTTCTTATCCCCTTGTGTAAAGATTACACAAATTCTATGAGTTCATGCTTGAGCTTGCAATGCAGTGTTGTTGTTTCTAATCCCCTTGTGTAAAGATTACACGAATTCTATGAGTTCATGCTCCTCAAACTTGAAGTGCAGTGTTGTTGTTTCTTATCCCCTTGGGTAAAGATTACACGAATTCCATGAGTTCATGCTTGAGCTTGCAATGCAGTGTTGTTGTTTCTAATCCCCTTGTGTAAAGATTACACGAATTCCATGAGTTCATGCTCCTCGAACTTGAGGTGCAGTGTTGTTGTTTCTTATCCCCTTGTAAACAAAAGGTAATAAGACCAAATCTAAATAAATAAATAAATAGTTTGTTTTTTGGTCTTATTACCCTGTGTTTATAATCTATAATCCAAATTGTGCCTTATCACTTATCTCCTTGTGTAAAGATTACACAAATTCTATGAGTTCATGCTTGAGCTTGAAGTGCAGTGTTGTTGTTTCTTATCCCCTTATGTAAAGATTACACGAATTCCATGAGTTCATGTTCCTCAAACTTGAAGTGCAGTGTTGTTGTTTCTTATCCCCTTGTGTAAAGATTACACGAATTCCATGAGTTCATGCTCCTTGAACTTGAAGTGCAGTGTTATTGTTTCTTATCCCCTTGTGTAAAGATTACATGAATTCCATGAGTTTATGCTCCTTGAGCTTGAAGTGCAGTATTGTTGTTTCTTATCCCCTTGTGTAAAGATTACATGAATTCCATGAGTTCATGCTCCTTGAGCTTGAAGTGCAGTGTAATGTAGGGAAGTCCTGTCTTATCCTGTCTAACTATGTGCCGTGTTCCCAGGCTACCTCCATCTCTATGGAGCCAGTGACAGCATCATCTTCAACAGCTTCAGCCGACAGACTGAGTTTGCCGACACTGTAAGTTGGATCTCCACTGGTTACTAACACTAAACAAGGGCCTCGAGTCAGGCTGGGACAGTTTTACTAGTTACCAGCTCTTTAGTAAGAGGACATCTCTCTCTAAATGACACCTTGACTCTGCATCTAGGGGTTATCATCCTTTAGAGAGAGGTTCCTTCCAGGCAGACACCATCAACAAGCTCTACAAGCTTGATACCTTAATATGATTGAGTGGAGATAAGAAAGAAGAAGAAGAGAGAGGTTCGACTGTATTTATAATGTATCATTAAGGGGGTCGGTGGAAGGATGGTCTAAACCGTTGGTTTTTGACTGCTACGACCCGGGTTCGATTCCCGCATTGGGCACTTTTTTATGTTTAAAAAAATAATGCTCCAATGGTCCCCGATTCTTGCAAAAGTCCAACCCCACCAGCGAGTGCAAGTAACCAAACGGGGCTCTGGCACATTTGTAAGTGCAAAGTCGAACTGTTTTTCACATGGGTATATATGTGGTGCACTTACAGTAAAAGCAGTCGCCTACTTCTACCCACCATGATTATCATGGCCTGTACCACGTGTACTAGGGATAAGCAAAAAAAAATATATATATATATCATTAATCCATTATTTAATATCTCGCCTCCCACTTGGGATAAAAAGGGATTGGTATTGGTACTTTGTTGATTTTTTTTTTTTTGGAATAAACAACAACAGCATACATATATATATTTTTATTTTAAAGTCAAAACTACATGGCACACTTGTAAGTGCAAAAGTTGAACTGCTTTTCACATGTGTAGCCATGTGGTATACTTAGAGTAAAATCAGTCGCTTACTGTTTCCAACCATGATTATCATGGACTGTACCACGTGTACTAGGAATTAATTTTTTTGAAAAATGTATTACAGGTGGAGTCCTTGCCCCATTTGGACTTCAGTGATGAGCTGACCCCTCTCTCCACCATCCCCATGCCGCACTGCGCTACCAAGCTGCTCTCTGATTGGCCCCCTGAACTCTGTAAAGTGGTCTACAGGTATGTATATATCTACATATGCACAAGGTAATAAGACCAAATCCAAATAAATAAATAGTGTGTGACGTTTCGGTAACAGCGTTGTTACCATCTTCAGACAAAAGTACTGAATGAAACGTCACACACTATTTATTTATTTGGATATGGTCTTATTACCTTGTGTTTATTTATAATCTATAATCCAAATTGTGCCTTATCATCTACATATGCAGTTTTCAACCTTCTCAATTTAACAACCCTAGAAATCAGAATTTTTTTGGTTGAAAGTCTGTGTTGAATTATAGTTGGTTATGAATTCTCAATTCATTGCAAAATTTCACTGCTAGTTTATTTATTTATTTATTTAACAGTTGGGAGAGACACGCCATATCCACAATTTGGATAATTGCGTGTATATTTTAAATTATATACAATTTATACAATTGAACATTGGAAATCATGAAAATTAAACATTTGATGTCAAATTTTACATATAGCAATTATAAGTAGTAGCTTGAAATATATACAGTCAACACTTTCGCCTCAAAATATACATCCTGCAGAATCTATTAAACTTGATGTATTGGTCTTTATTGCAAGCAGCTTGTTTTGTATTAGTCAGGTAAAGTTGGTTTTCTTCCCTTAGATCAGAAGTTAATGGACAGTTTATCAGAAGGTGTTCAGGGGTTTGTTGTTCGTTTCCACAAGTGCACGCAGGTGAATCAATTTTGCCAATTCTAAACAAATATGTGTTGAAGTCACCATGTCCAGTAAAAAATTGAACGTTATAGAAGTTGGGTTGAACATAGTTAGGAATTCTTGAATTCCTTGGTCATTTTCTGTGGTCAACACATATGGCAATGTTGAATTACAACAGATTAAAGTAAATGGGCTGATTGGGATTTGTAAAACATAAAGGAAGTATTGAATTATGTTGTTGTTGATGTCCATCAAGTTGACTTTTAGTGACTCTATGGACACTTATTCTCCAATTTGGTCTATTAATGATCATCACTCATAGCTCATCAAAGGCCAGTAGCTCTCAAAGGAATTAGCTTACAGCACCTGGTGATCCCAAGTGGTCACCCTCCATAGTACTGACTAGGCCCGACATGGGTCAACTTCAGTGATTGGACAAGAATTGGTGTTTTCAATTGTTGCTGTACAGAAGGACTTCCCCAATATCCAAGAGTAGCTAGGAACATGCCATAACTGACAGATGTTGCTGTAGAAACGAACTTCTGGAACATGCCGTAACTGACAGATGTTGCTGTAGAAACGGACTTCTGGAACATGCCGTAACTGACAGATGTTGCTGTAGAAACGGACTTCTGGAACATGCCGTAACTGACAGATGTTGCTGTAGAAACAAACTTCTGGAACATGCCGTAATTGACAGATGTTGCTGTAAAAACGGACTTACGGACCATGCTGTAACTGACTATGGCTGTACAGATGGACTCACAGAATATACTCTAACTGACTGATGTTGCTGTACAGACGGACTCCCCCCATTGACCCCCTGATCCTCAACTCCATGAAGATGGTGGGGTCAATAGGCTATGCTCCCAACCCCGGCAACCGTCTCAGGAACCAGACTCCCTACATCACTGGTAGCAAGACTTCTAAGGATAGCTCTCCTTCCTCTCCTGGTGAGTTAGCAATGTCATTGTTTCTTATCCCTTTGTGTAAACATTACACAAATTCAATGATAAGCAGTGGCCACTCGCAAAAGTCTTGTTTAGTGCATCTAATGCAAGCCAAAATGTGTTCTGCTTTGAGCGATTCCTTCTACATACACACAGCTATAAAAGTTCCATTTACCCTCACTGTTTATATGTTGTTGTTGTTGTGTCCAATGAAGAGCCTCAGATGTCTCCATACATTTCTATCACAGCAGCAGCAATTTTCACTATCTTTGGAAAATGGGTGCTGTTGCCATGTTAGTCACCTTGGAAACAAACCAGAATTTGGTCGAATATTCCAAGAGTCCGGGGGGACCGCAGGGAGGTGTGGTCGGACTTCTCCCCCCTCCCACTGTTTGTATGGAGACACAGATTTACTTTCTTGTTAGCATCCATCAAGTTTACTTTTGTTGAACATATAGACAAATATTCTTCAATTTAATCTGTTAGTGAACTCTCACCTCATCTAGTGACCTTCTAGTAGCTTTCTTGACCCCTTCTAGCCATACTGTATAGTAAGAGAATATTTCTCCCTAAAAGACACATTTGCTCTACATTTAGGTGTCCTTTACAGAGAGGTTCTACTGTACTCTTCTTCTGTCTTATCTCCACACTGGGTGAAGTAGAATGCGTCTGCCTTTGTCATTAAGACTGGGAGCACTACTCAGTGGCAGGCCGACTTAACTCCAAAAGAAATGGCCGCCTCTGACATGAGGAACAGACGCCATGTGCAGCCGCTCCTAACATGGAATACAAACGCTGCATATCCTGTATCCTTGGATCAGGAGCCCTTACAGGGTACTATCAGCCAGGCCAGTTGAGCCCAGGTTTTTTAGCAAGCTTTTTACTGCTCCCTCTCGTCCTTTTTCATCTGGGCTTGGGACCAGCAAAGACGGAGTACTGTACTAATATTATAAAATGATCTTTTATCTTGTTCTGTTGAAAAGGACTTTTAAATCGAAGGATAAATGAGTGTTCAGGTGTGTTCTGTGGGGAGGTATGTTCAGTGATGGTTGGTGGCAGGAGATGAGGAAGAGACGGTGCCCCAGCACTACCTCAAGATAGAGCTGAAGATGAACAAGATGGCCTACGAAGAGATTGACTTCAACCGCTATAACCGGACAAGTTTTGCCGGACTAGAAGCCAACCTCCCCAACTCCTATAATAACAATATGATTCAGGTACAACCTGCCTTACCTCTTATCATCCCATGATTTTTTTTTACCATATTTACTACCTACCGTACACATTAAAAGGACACCAATGTAAAAAACAACACATTTCTTTGATCTTTCCGTAGAACATTCAATTTCAGATCAAGGAATAAGCTACAACATTAGTTGTGTCTCAAACAAGTCAGTACAATTTGGATTATAAACGCAAGGTAATAAAACCAAATCTGAATAAAATAAATTGTGTGTGATATTTTGGTAACAGCGTTGTTACCATCATCATTCACACACTTTATCATTGTCACACATTGTTGAAATGTCAAACACCTATTTATTTGTGTTTTGTAGATTTGGTCTTTTTTAACCTTGTCTTTCTAATCTCTCTAATCAAAATTTTACCTAATGATAAACCTTAGATAAGTAAAGAAGTGTCTTACAATTGAAGGAATCGCTGGCAATCATTGTTGAAAGAGATTAAAGTTTTTTGTTTTTTTTCAATATCTCATTGTATAATTATACAAGGACATGGAGACTATATTCATAGATCAAATTCACAATCTTGGTAGGGTTGGAATATAGGTCTTGTCTTGAGGCTTCCATACATTTCAAGAGGTGGTCTGGTGAGGTCTCATTGGTCCTGTAGATGGTGTATTGTGGGAAGGTCTAGAACAAAGGTAAACATGACGAGCTTCTTTATTTCTCATTGCGTTTACCTTTGGTCTTTTTTAATAAAGAAATCTCTTGTTGTTGTTTCTTATCCCCCTATGTAAAGATTACACAAATTCCATGGGTTCATGCTCCTCGAGCTGTTTGATGATAAGCAGCGGCCACTCCCAAAGGTCCTGTTTAGTGCATCTAATGCAAGCCAAAATGTGTTCTGGAGCTGTAGGTGCCAAGCTACGTTTTAGGAAAGGGGGTAGATTTTGTTGTTGGTTTCTATCTTCAATGGCTTGAGATCACCTGTTTTAAATTTTGTTATGAATAAAGAAATCTCTATCCATCCACCAATTGAACTGTGTCGTGCAGGTTCTGTACTACATTGAGCCCCTGCGCAGCGCTCTGCTGAACCATCTCTGTGACAGGGAGTTCTGTCTCTCCTGTGAGCTGAACTTCCTCTTCCACATGTTGGACTCGGCCCAAGGACTGCCCTGCCAGGTACATTTCTTTGTTGCCGTGTCCAAAGAAGAGCCTCAGATGTCTCCATACATCTCTATCACAGCAGTCACAATGTCCACTATCTTGGGTATGTAAAGCTGCTGCTCTGGGTCCATGTCAATTTTCTGCAAGGCTGCAGCCATTGCTAGGTATGAGAATATGTGAGTAGGTGTTAGTTCCACACCAGGACAGTTGTTGCATGTCCTATAGGTTCTTGTGCCATCTGGATATATTGTTATTCCTTTATAGTGTTTTGTTCTAAGTCTTGTTATAGATTTTGTAATTATTCTCACAGAATACACTTCATTGCCCCAAGTAATACCTCTCTGTAAAGGACAACACCTAGTTGCAGAGAAGAAGTGACCTTCAGAGAGAGTTGTCCATTTCCCAGAGAGTTGCTAATTGGTTGTTGTTGTGTCCAATGAAGAGCTTTCTACAGTATAAGAAGGATTATTTATTATAGAATTTTATCTTTCCTCTAAAAGAAAAATAAAGATGAAATACACTCTCATATCCAAAACTTAAAGAAGCGGAAAGTCCTTGATGTCTTCCTTGTTGTCCAAGTCCTTGATGGGTTATCTATTTTTTATGGAGACAGAGGCAATTATGTTCACACTTGGTTATCTCATGTATCTTCAATAAAGGTCACTGTAATATCTTTCAGAGTTATTGTTTGAATCCCGATTTACATGGTAAAAGGTACAACTTCCTTAAGTTTGTCCAACAGTCTTTCATGATAGATATTTTCCTATCTTTAAAAAGTACACAAGCTATTTTGATCAAATTATACTTAATGGATAGAATCCATGGAGAAATTAGGTCACTAAATAATGGATGACTCTCTCTTTCATTATTCATCCTTACTTCCTTAAGTTTTGTTCATGGGTGTATGTGTTGTAATAAATGGTGTGTTTGACCCACAGGCCAATAATTTCCTTCGAGCCTTCCGTACCATTCCTGAAGCCTCTGCGCTAGGCTTGATTGTTAATGATCTCGGAGAAGCTCGGAAGAAATGTAACTTACCCCGGCTGGTACAGAGTTGGACCAGGTTCATCCTTCAGCAAATCAATACGGTACGTTGAATGTCTGTCCGGTACCTATACATGTCTATTTACATATATCTCTGTCTGTCTGTCTGTAGGAGATGGGAGGCAACTCTGAACCTGAAGTCTCTTCTGATGCGGAGTAAGTATGCAATTGAGGTTTTTTTGTCAACCCCCAATTCTTGGTGGTTACTCTATTGGTGAGGTCAGTGGACTATAGGTATAAGCTGTTGATTTTGACAGCCTGAACCTGGGATCACAATAAGGAAAACAATTTTGTTTTATTTGTGAAAAAGAAAAACTTTGTGCTAATATTTTATATTTAAAATGATGTATATTCACTGTAAAGAGAGAGAGAGAGTCTTCTATAGAAGGATCAACTAGGCTGTTTACTTTTAGCTTTTAGGGGGTCGGTGGAAGGATGATCTAAACCGTTGGTTTTCGACTGCTACGACCCGGGTTCGATTCCCACATGGGCACTTTTTCTGTTTTAAAAAAAAAATGCTCCAATGTCCCCCTATTCTTGCAAAAGTCCAACCCCACCAGTGAGTGCAAGTAACCAAACGGGGCTCTGGCACATTTATAAGTGCAAAGTCTAACTACTTTTCACATGTGTAGACATGTGGTGCACTTACAGTAAAAAGCAGTTGCCTACTTCTACACACCATGATTATCATGGCCTGTACCACGTGTACTAGGGATAAGCAAAAAAAAAAGGCTGTTGATTTTGACTTCCTTAACCTGGGATCGCAATAAGGACATCAATTTTATTTGTGAAAAAGAAAAACTTTGTGCTAATATTTTATGTTTAAAATAATGTATATTCACTGTAAAGAGAGTCTTCTATAGAAGGATCAAATAGGCTGTTTACTTTTAGCTTTTACATGTGGTGCACTTACAGTAAAAGCAGTCGCCATGATTATCATGAACTGATCCACATATACTCGGGATAAGCAACCAAGAAGAAAGAACTTTTAGCTTTGGTCATTTAATAGAAAATTAATTGTTTGGCGAGTGAATAAATGTGTGAGGTCTTTTTTTTTGTTGTTGTTTTGTTTAAAGAAAGTGACAGGTGAGACAAAAGAAGAGACTGTGTGACAATTGACAATTAAA